ATACATTATTGTGCAGTTAGTACAGACTGTGAAATCACAAGTAGTTTCAAACGTAAAACGCCTTTAGAAAATCACGTGCAATACATTATTATGAATAAAAATCGATAGATTTTTAGTATTGATATGACCCTTGGTCCTTAGAGTTCGAATGATTTTTTGAAGAGGAAAAAATACGTTTTACAAGGAAACTTGCATTAGGGTGGACATTAATCGTGCAATTGAGATTTAGGAGAGTGAGAAAGAACGTGAGATTTTTTCAATGTAAAATAATTAGGATAAATAAAATAAACTTTTTGGTAACGTCATCATTTTTAATTTTGGTCGTAATGGTGAGGCCAAGAAGGAAGGCAAATATTCCCAGTTTTCCTTTTCATTTTCCTATAGCTTCCATCAAAAACATCTACTTTCTTCAGAGTTACACATTTTTTACACTAAATGGACTTCATTTTGCCATTCGGAACTGCAATTTCTAACTCACCTGTAAAAGCGCTTCTCTACATATGGAAACTAATGGCACATACGTTGTTTCTGAGGTGAGCTGAATATTGCAGTTCCTAAGTGCAACATGTGGTCCATGTGACCGATTAATGAGTTCACGTCAACAGTATGTTATCTCTGCAAAGTGTTCTCCTGCTCCCTTCTCATTAGGATATTGCAGGGTAATTTACATGATTTTATTGACCTCTTTATTTTCATATCCATTCAAGACACTTTTGCGGTGATGAACGGTATCTTTAAAAATGCAAAGTATGATACATGAAGAGGTCAGAGGCAAATGAGCATTCGGACATAGCATTGTTCTACTTACCAATTCATTTTTACTGCAGATCAATCCTAAATTTACTCTGAAATCACTTGAAAATTTCTCTATAATTTTAGGAAAATTTCCCGAAATTTTAAAATGGACTCGCCGAAAGGTAAAGTGCCTAGGCCGGAGAAACTTCGCATTTTTGCATGATGATTTAACTTTTCTACTTTTGTCCTTTTGACATAATATGCATGCAATTAATTCCGAAGCAGAATGCAGCAAATAAATAAGGTAAATGCTCTGTGAAAAGTTGACAGGATCTCACGATTCTCCCGGAAGGTTTGAAATAATCTAAAATCGATAAATAAGAAGTCAGAAGTGTTCATGCAGCTCCTTCGAAGCAGTGAAAAAAGGTGAAATGATGAAATAAGTAAATGATGAATCTTGTCTGGTTACAGGTTCTCTCCAAAAGTGGCAATACGGCTTCCGGGATCCAGAAACATATTCTTAATTAATTTAACTAGAGTGGAGGCGCTCAAGGTGAGCTCAGAACGAATCTTCAAGTCACAACACTAGCCTTGAGATTATGCAACCCGGCGGCATTGCCGACGCGTACAAAAAGCTTGCCTCAGCTATTGAAGGAGCAACATAGCGCAGTGGGAATGAAAACTGACCGTAAGTATTCTAAGCATGGTGCTAAAAATGCACCTTTAGTCGTTGTATCTAAATTAACTCGAGTCATAGTTGCACAAAAATCACAGAAATCGAAGCATCAATTAACCCGCATCACATCAGAGAATGTTTGAGCGGCTTCAAGACTGTATAATTCGGTTTTCTGGATTTCTGGTAGTCGATGTCCGGGGAAATCATTTTTACCTTAAGCCTCTACGCCAGTTTAGCGATGCTGAATTATTGGGAGGGAGCCCCCTCCCCCCCCCTCTAGGAGTCAACATTTCAAATAGGATTGGGCCGACTTTGGATCAATTGGAATTTTTGGTGAAATCTTTCGTGATTTCTGAATTTGATTGTATAATTTCAAAATTTCGAAAGAAACCCCAGCTTTTAAAGTCAAGACCCCTCCCCCCTTTTATCTTACGAAGGGGCCTGGGGGCTTTAGGGCTATGCCATTAGGATTTCTTGGGGTCAATTCCATTTTCGTCCCTAAGGTCTCCGACTCCATATGACCCAAAATAACCCGAGAAAAAAACCTGGGCCCGAATTTTGTCTGTGTCTTTTGAACTGGAGTTTTGTGCCTTTAAAAATTTGAAAAATGAGCAGTTTAGTCACAATGAATTAACACTTTTTTCTATACAAATTGAATTTTTTTCAAAAACCGATTACATTCGACAACAAATGAACATATTACAATGAATTAAGATGGGGAGAAAAACCTGAAAAATAAATGAAAACTTAGAAATACTCGTACTTCGAATCAATTTGAGAATACAACGATCAAGTTCCATTAACAATATCCGCAGCGAAGGGCAAGTCTCAAAACTTCCTTTCCTGATAATTTAATTCTAAGCTATAATGTTTACTAATAGTCCAAGTAATGGTTACTATAGTAATATCGAGTATGTAAGCTATGGGATTCTTCTCATCAACAATCACTATGTCCAATCTGTTATCCATGATGGTATTGCCAATTAAAATTATTATTCCAATACAGTCGGAAACGCTGACTCCTTTCAAGGACTGCAGCAGAGACAGCATTTGTTGTGAATATTCTACATAGCTCTCGAAACCTCTGATCAGCACAACGTGGACAAGTTATTTGTTATTTCTATGTATTATTATTATTATTACTTTTTACGTACATTTGACAGTGTGCAAATATTGTGAGCCTCATTTAGGCATGGACTCATCAAATGATGAATTGAACTATATACCTACACTTCAATTCACAAAGGCTTCTTTCTTTTATCGTTTCAGATCGATGTTGTCTGAGAGGATCTCCGATTTTATGGACCTAATTGCATTATACCGAGGTGGGAAGTAAGATTGCATTCACTAATGGATTACTATTAGAACTAGAGTGCCCAGAAGAACTGCCAAGGCAATATTTTTGCAAGGCCTCGAATTGTGAAAGATGCCGCAAATCAACATAATATCCCACCAATCATTTTTATTCCAAATCATAGTGGTGACATTCATTGCAAACTTCTGCATCATTTACACGGTCTGGAAGTTGTCGATAGAGGAAGAAGACGAAGATGAGAAATTTAAATCAGCAATTTTTTTAGATAAAATATGTAAGTTTTGTTTGAGACCGGAAAATCTTACGAAAAGTGTACGAGAGGAACTCAAGATTCTCAGCGCGAATTGCGATTTAAACTTTAAGCCTCTATTGATCTCTAAAATGGAAACNATTTAAACTTTAAGCCTCTATTGATCTCTAAAATGGAAACAAATGCTGAAGAGCCCCCTTTAGACGAGGAGCTCTTACTTCAATCATCAGATTTAGTTGAAGGTGAAGATCCCGTGAAGCTGTCTATGGACACCATTGAGCAAGACGAAACATCGGAAGACTTGAGAACGACAATTTTTCTGTTTATCTATAGGCTGTTCTCACATTGAAATCACGAATTACTTTTAGAGAAAAATCAGCAAATTTAAAAATACGTGTAGATTAGCCGATCCAGAACTGCTATCCCTCCATTAAAAAATTAGAGCTAACTGATGAGTTTCTAAGTATCCACTGTGCCAATAGACAAGACATGAACTGTTTTAAAAGTCAAGTCATGCACCTTGTTTCTAAATGTTTCCTACGTTAAGATTATT